AAAAAAAAAAAAAAGAAAGAAGTCAAATTAAACCAACCCCAAACTGCTGATTTCTGTTACTGCTACAACTTTGTCACCTTTTGCTCTGGCTGGTACAGATGCAAGGCTTCGGAAGCAACCTCATCTAAGATGTGTGACAGACCAAGGCCTCCAAATCTAACAGAAAACTCAGGCCCAGAACTTGTCCTTTGCCCAAAAGAAAGTTTTGAGTTTGTTAATGGCTTTCATTTATCTTAGTTTTCCTTTTCCTTTCTTCCCTCATCATCCACCCTTTTATCCAAACCCTACCCCCACCAATGTCTGTTTGTTTGCTTATTTGGGGCAGGGTCTTCTGTATAGTCCACACTTGCTCTATATCCCAGGCCGGCCTCACATACTTCCTACTCAGTGCTGGGATTTCAGGTGTGCACCACCTTAACAAGTACTTTCTGCCAGGCACTGGTGGTTCATGCCTGTAATCCTAGCTACTCAGGAGGCTGAGATCTGAGGATCATGGTTCAAAGCCAGCCTGGGCGGCAAAATCTGTAAAACTCCTTATCTCCAATTAACCACCAGAAAACCGGAAGTGGTGCTGTGGCTCAAGTGGCAGAATGTTCGTCTTGAGCTGAAGAGCTGAGGGACAGCTTCCAAGCCCAGAGTTCAAGCCCCATCACCAACCAAAAAAAAAAAAAAAAAAAGTACTTTCTTTAAACTGTACATATTTATGGGGTACAGTATAAAAATTCAATTCATGCATAGTGATTAAATCTTGGTAATCAACATTTCCATGTGCTTAATCATTTATCATTTCTTTATAATAGGAATGTCCAAAATACCCTTTGAGTTCTTCATAAAATATATATTATAAACTAATCATTCTAAGGTGTTTGTGAAACACTAAAACCATTCCTCTAACTGTATTTTAGTTCCTGTGATTCAAGCCACATCTGTCTTTCCACCCCACACTTGTCATTCGTTTGTTTATTTACTTTTTTTTTCAGCACTAGTGTTTGAACTCAGGGCCTCAAACTTGCTAGGCTGGCACCCTACTCAGTCATGCTCCAGTTGTCATATTTAGTCTTGAGACATAGATCATCTTAAGTCATCTAAGAATAAAAGCAGATCACTGAGGATAAATCCAGGTTATGTATTACTTAGGAGACTCAGTGTCTTTGCAAGAAGGACATCCGCTAGAAGAGAAACAGTATGAAGATCTTGCTCCACCTCTTTTGGACAATTACATAGAGTTCCAAGCAGTTTCAGCATGTTTTCCAGTAGGAGGATCATCAGAACAGAAAGGCTCCCAAGGGTTTCTGAGACCCTCTAATCCAACCTGTCTTACTAGGATTGTGACAGCAGGGTCACGTACAGGCCCCAGGCTGAAAGAGCCCTGATCCAGAGAACACTTTGAAGCACATACAGATATGCTCCTACTGACTCTCTCCCCAGAGGCATAAACAACGTGCTCACTGTCAGGTGAGACCTTAGACTCTGGGAAACAGACAGTATCCAAGGTGCAGCTCTCAGGGAATGTTAGATTAAGTGGTGTATAAAGGTTAACAAGCCTCTCATGTTTTCTCCTAGGGTAGTTCTGGCACCACTAAGAAATCTCACTGAGGGGCAAAAAGAAAAGATACTGACTATACCTTTTTTTATACCTTTTTTCTGTTTTTTTTTTTTTAAGCAGGACCCATAACATACAAAAAAAGCTATCAGAACAGGTGGGCTAAAAAAAGAGAATTGTCTTCTTTTTGAAGGTTTCTCTAAAACCAATCTAAGTTAGAAACATCAATTAATGTATAAGCATCAATTTAGAGAGAGAGAAATGGGCTAGGGATATAGCTCAATAGTAGACCCTGTGCTTAGTATTCACGAAGTCCTGAGTTTGATCCTCACCATCACAAAAAAATGAAAATAAAAGAGAGAGACAGGCTGGGCGTGGTAGCTCACGCCTGTAATCCTAGCTACTCAGGAGGTTGAGATCTGAGGATCCAGGTTCAAAGCCAGCCCGGGCAGGAAAGACTGTGAGACTCCTATCTCCAATAAACCACTGGAAAACTGGAAGTGGCGCTGTAGCTCAAGTGGTAGAGTGCTCGCCTTGAGCTGAAGAGCTGAGAGCCAGTGCTCAGGCCCAGAGTTCAAGCCCCATGACTGACAAAAAAAAAGAAAGAAAGAAAGAGAGAGAGAGAGAGAGAGAGAGAGAGAGTCGGATATCAGTGACTCATGCCTATAATCCTACCTCTCAGGACAGTGAGATCTGAGGATCATAGTTCAAAGCCAGCTTGGCAGAAAAGTCCCTGTGAGACACTTATCTCCAATAAACTACTCAAAAAAGCTGGAAGTGGCACTATGGTTCAAGTGGTAGTGCACTAGCCTTTGAGCACAAAGAGGCTCAGGTACAGCACCCAGGCCCTGAGTTCAAGCCCTAGGACTAGCAAAAAGAAAAGAGACAGAGATAGACACAGAAACAGACTATTGGGGAAATCTGACTATTTCTTAGATATTTCACAATATTGAAAAACCATTATTAACTAGATATATTAATACTATTATGGTTTTCTTTTGTAAAAGGTTTCTTCTTTTGTAAAAATACACAAACATTTATTGAAGAAATGGTATAATACCCAGGTTTTACTTCAAAATATTGAAGAAATGGCATAATAACCAGGTTTTACTTCAAATAGGAGAGGGAAATAGGTCAGGGGAAAGATGGAAAGAGATTGGCTCTATGATGATTATGATGGCTGAAGCTGACTGAAGCACAGAAAGTAAGTTATAACGTCAGGGTAGAGTCAGAGTTAACCTGATGCAAGCATTTTACACCTTCTATCCCACCTCCAGTTATAAGTGGTCAGAGTGTGAGAAGGAATGGAACTGAATGGAATAGAACAGAAAGGAGTAAAATGAAGACAAGCAGAGATGGACACTTACCAACAGCAGATAATGCAACAGTAGGTTTCCTGGTATCCCTGAAATATAAAAATTAGAGGTCACATGTCCAATTCATATGCTATCAGCCCCCTGGTGCTTTTTACCCTTTCGCACATATTCCTTTACTTTCCTCTCAATGGGAATTTAAGAGTTGTTACCTGCTTTGAAGGACTTAAAAAGAAATATAGCCTGGTGCTGGTGGCTTATGCATATAATCCTAACTGAGATCTGAGGCTGAGATCTGGGGAGTGAGGTTCAAAGCCAGCCTGGACAGAAAAGTCTGTGAGACACTCTTCTCTCCTATTAACCGCCAAAAAAGCCAGAAGTAGGAGAGCGCTAGCTTTGAGCAAAAGCAGATTAGGGATAGCACCAAGGCCCAGCATTCAACCCCCAGGACACGGGGACGGACACACACACACACACACGGACACACACACACACACACATGCACACACACACACACACACACACGCACACACTCACACAAAGAGAAGAAAAGTATACAGAGAGACATGTTTTTCTCAAGGTAGATGAACTTTCTTAATCATTTTAATTGAAGCCACATCTGAATTTCAGATCATACAGCTAAATAAATCCACACAGATTTCACATTTGAGCAGGGTGGCTCATAAAAGTATAGCTGCAAGAACATTTCTAATGGCATTTCAAAAGTAGATTAAAGTACTACTCTGGGAACTGAGGTGAAAGTACAGTGGTAGAGTGATATCATGGATAAGGTCCCAAGTTCAATCCTCAGCACTAAAAAAACAAAAAGAAAGAAGAAAACTACTCTAAATATTCCCAACGGCCAAGCAGCAGAAGCAACAAATGAAAGTAAATAAAATGTGGTGTGTATATATATATTTTATGTATGTATGTATTTATTTATTTGGTCATGGGGCTTGAACTCTGGGCTTGGCGCTATCTTTGCTCTCTTCAGCTCAAGGCGAGTGTTCTACTGCTTGAGCCACAGCGCCACTGTGCCACTTCTGGTTTTCTAGTGGTTTATTGGAGATAAGAGTCTCACGGACTTTCCTGCCTAAGCTGGCTTTGAACCATGATCCTCAGATCTCAGCCTCCTAGGTAGCTAGTATTACAGGCATGAGTCACCAGTGCCCAGCTGTGGTATATTCTTAAAATGAAGTACTATTCATTTTTTTAAAAAAGGAAAGAAATTCTGACATACTTGACAACATGGAAGAACTTTTAAGGACATTCTTCTAAATGAAATTGGTCACAAACCGGGTGCTGGTAGCTCACGCCTATAATCCTAGCTACTCAGGAGGCTGAGATCTGAGGATCAAGGTTCAAAGCCAGCCCAGGCAGGAAAGTCCGTGAGACTCTTATCTCCAATAAACCACTAGAAAACCGGAAGTGGCGCTGTGGCTCAAGTGGTAGAGCACTAGTCTTGAGCTGAAGAACTGAGGGCCAATGCCCAAGCCCAAAGTTCAAGCCCCACAACCAACAAAAATAAATATAAGGGCTGGGAAGGTGGCTCAGTGGTAGAGGACTTGCCTTGCATGCCTGAGGCCCTGGGTTTGATTCCTCAGCACCACATAAGCAAACAGAAAAAAGCCGGAAGTGACACTGTGGCTCAAGTGGTAGAGTGCTAGCCTTGAGCTGAAGAGCTGAGGGACAGCGTCCAGGCCCAGAGTTCAGGACCCATGACCAGATGTTCAGGACCCATGACCGGACCCAAAAAATAAAAAATAAAATAAAATAAAAAATATATATATAAATAAATAAATATTGTATCGTTCTACCATATGAGACAGTTACTCTAGCCAAAGTCACTAAAACAGAAAACAGAATGATGATTGTCAGAGATGGGGAAGAAAGAAATGAAGTATTGAATGGCTTTAGAGTTTCAGTTTCTCAAGATGAAGACTTTCTAAAAGGAAACTAGATTATGAGACAGAATTGGTCCTAAAAAAAAAAAAAGAGCTGGGCTCCTGTGGCTCACATCTGTAATCCTACTACTCAGGGGGTTCAGATCTGAGGATCACAGTTCAAAGCCAGCCTCAGCAAAGTCCATGAGATCTTATCTCCAATAAACCACCAGAAAAACCAGAAATGACAGTGTGGCTCAACTGGTAGAGCGCTAGCCTTGAGCTGAAGAGCGCAGGGACAGTGCTCAGGCCCAAGGTTCAAACCCCAGGACTGACAAAAAAAAAAAAGAAAGAAAAAAAGAAGAGGGCTGGGAAGGTGGCTCAGTGGGAGAGCACTTGCCTCGCATGCATGAGGCCCTGGGTTCCATTCCTCAACCACATAAGCAAAAAAAAAAGAAGAAGAAAAGATGATTGATAATAACTTTTATGGCCTGTGTTTTTCATTACAATTTTAAAAAAAGAACCACTCTAAATACAAAAGAAGATTTTTGGAGAAAAAAGTTCCACCATTCACCCTAGGTAGGCAAGGCAATTCCATGGCTCTGCCTTAGCCTGAGAAAGAATGTCAGTTCAGTGCCTTACATGATAAAATACTCATTTCATGTAAATGAAGGACGCTCTTTAATGCATTCATAACTGCCTGATAACTTGCGTAAGAGTTTCCTCTTCCATTTCATCTGGGTTCCAGACTTCTCTGGGGACAGGCCTTACTGCTGACCTGTCCTAACTCCTGGTCAAGTCAGCCACACACCCCTTACTCCTTAAAAACCCCTTTGCTGGTCTGGCTTGTCTGTTCCATCTCCATACCTGGATTGTCTTCTGCCCTGTCCCAGCTTTCCAGATGAAACCACTGATAGGAGGGAAGAAGAATGATGTGGCAGGGGAAGAGATCCATTCTAAAAGACTATACAGATGCCCCTCAGAGCAGACGGCTCTAACCATATGGCAAAGGAAATGCTGCCAGGCCCAGCTGGGATCTTGAGTTCTTTACTTGTTAGTTCATGCGGAGCAGCCCTGTGAGGCAGCCATTAGCACCCCTTTGACAGCTGGGAACCAAAGCGTCACAAAGAGCCATAAAGAGCCAAGCAGGTATCTCAGTCCTGCCTGCTATAGATGTGTGTCTGTGCCTCATCAAAATCTATCACTGTCATTTAGCACATCACTACACTCTAGCTCATCTTCTAAATGCCAGCACCTGTATTACTTTGCCAGTGAGATCTCCCTGGTCTTGGAGCCTGCTTTACAGAACTCTGATGGGTCTGATGAGCTAGGGGCAGTAGCCATCAATAATACGGCCTGGCCTAGAGTAAGACACCTCTGAGTGTTACTAGTTTATTGTTATTATAGAGGTGATGTACAGAGGGATTATAATTACATGAGTCAGGCTATGAGTCCATTTCCTTTGAGGAGGGTGTTTTGCACCAACACCTGGTGCTCCCCAGGAAGATGGAGTTCTGGAACCTGAGAAGAACCGTGTCCCTTTTTAGCCCTTCTGATTTGCCTGTCATCTCCATCCCCTACCAGCACCTCTTGAGAACATATTTGTATTCAAACCCTTGTCTCAGGATCTACACCTTGAGGAAACCAAATAAGATACTTACTATCTAAAACAAAGGTCCCAAATCATGCCACAAAGTGGCTGTAGCTTTCCATTGCTCTTACTTGATATCCCAAATGTAGATGTATGTGTCCACCGAGCTGGTGACTAGGAGATCAGGCTCAAACACCGCCCAGTCCAAGTCGCTGGGACAGAAGAAATACAGAATAAAGAAAAACAACTTCATGTCTGGCTCCAAAGCATTAGCAAATCTAGTCTCTACTGACTTAAACATGACATGGTTTAGGATGGGGAATTCCAAAGTTCCTTGGTATTAAACAAGAGTAAACTGAATTCAGAAAGTTTTCAGGTCCTCCTTTGGTTGCCATGGACACTATCACCTGCTCCCAAGATAGAAATGAAACATTTCAACTTAATGCATGCAGTCTCCCTTCCTCCCTTTCCCATTCCAACAGACAAAAACAGTCAAAAGAAAAGAAAAATACACAAAGTAATCATTTACTAAATCAGAGCCAAGCACAGGAACCCTGGATTACCTTGGAAAACATGAAGGACCGTTGGCCACTCAGAGCCAGGGCAACACAAGCTTGCAAAGAGGGTGGCATCTTCATCTTAACAAATGACTGGGACAAAGCGACACAGGTTGAGGAGCTGTGGAAGGCTGATGCCTACCTGATTACCCGAGTATGGCCCTGTAAGGTTGTGCCGACTTCTCCACTGCCATCTTTCCACTTATAAAGGTCAACACGTTGGTTACTCTGAAAAGAAACCAGAGGGAGAAGGTAGTGATAACATAGCACGCACACTGGAATGTATGCTCTCATCCTCAATTGCTTACAGCAAAGGAAGGGAAGCCACTGTGTATGGCAGAGATCCTACATGCTGAACTCTTTAAATAGCCATTTGAAATCTTATAATCAAAATGGCTTTAGCCCAGTGTTCAGGGTTATAAGTTTCAAATGAAACAGCAGGGTTATCTTCCAAGGAATCCATCTTGAACAGTCACAGCTGACCTGCAGCTCCAGAGATGTCCCTGACCATTAGAGTAATCTCATCCCCTCTCTGGAGATCACCCCTCAATTCTCCTGCTGTCGCACTGAATGTTTTCGGCTTACCCTTCCCAGAATCCAATGCCCAGAGTCTACCCACCAACATTTTTAAAATACATATACAAAAAAAAAAAAAAAAAAAAAAAAAAAGAGCTGAGGAGCTGAGGGACAGCGCCCAGGCCCAGAGTTCAAGCCCCACGACCAAATAAATAAATAAATATTTTATGATTATATTAGCCTGGTGCCACTGGCTCACATCTGTAATCCTAGCTACTCAGGAAGCTGAGTTCTGAGGATCACAGTTCAAAGCCAGCCCAGGCATGAGAGTCTTATCTCCAATAAACCACTCAAAAACTGGAAGTGGTGCTGTGGTCAAGTGGTAGAGCACTAGCCTTGAGCTGAAGCGCTAAGGGACAGAGCCCAGGCCCAGAATTCAAGCCCCACAATGAAAGAAAGAAAGAAAGAGGGCTGGGAAGGTGGCTCAGTGGTAGAGCGCTTGCCTTGCATGCTCGAGGCCCTGGGTTCGATTCCTCAGCACCACATAAGCAAAAAGAAAAAAGCCGGAAGTGGCGCTGTGGCTCAAGTGGTAGAGCGCTAGCCTTGAGCTGAAGAGCTGGGGGACAATGCCCAGGCCCAGAGTTCAAGCCCCACGACTGGACCCAAAAAAAAAACAAAACAACTTAAACTTAAGAAAGAAAGGAAGAAAGAAAGAAGGAAGGAAGGAAGGACACCAAAAACTGTCCAAGAAGGCAAAATTACACAAGAGTCCTTTAAATATGCCTGTATCCAATTTTTCTTTCTTTCTTCCTTCCTTCCTTTTGTCAGTATTGGGGTTTGAACTCAAGACCTTATGCTTGTCAGTCAAGTACTCTACCACTTGAGCCATAGCCCTAGCCCTTTTTACTCTGGTTATTTTTCAAGAAGGTTCTCACTTTTTGCCCAGGTTAGCCTGAATTGCAAACATCCTATTTATTTTTTCTGCATAGCTGGGATGACAGATGCATGTCATTACAACCAGACTTTTGTTGTTGCTGTTGTTTTATTGAGATAGGGTCTCACAAACTTTTTGCCCAGGCTGGCCTTGAATCGTGATTCTCCCAATCTCAATTTCCCAAGTAGCTAGGATTAAAGATGTGAATTACCTCACCAGACTGTATCAAAGGACTGAAAGAGAAAAAGAAAAGGAAAAATGAAACACACATACACATAAAAAAACTATTACAGGAAAAAGGAAGAAAAAAATAAAGACTCCATAAAAACACATTTTATTAAAAAAAACAGCTAAATATCCCTAAATATCATGTTTAAGAAACACTGAAAAGTATATAAAAATTACTAATTAGCTGAAACAGCCTGGCTCATGATTATAATCCTAGCTACGTAGGAGGCTGAGATCTGAAGATCACAGTTCAAAGCCACCCTGGGCAGGAAAGTCCACAAGACTCTTATCTACAATTAAACACCAGAAAACTGAAAGTAGAGATGTAGCTCAGTCGTAGAGTGCTACCTTTAAGCCCTAAGTTTAAACCCTATAACCAATAAACAAAACAAAACTGACAACAATAACATGATGTTTAGTTATTTTTTAATCCATATGTATACACACACACACACATACATACACACACACATTAGCTTTATTTTTATTTTAGCTCAGAGATAGCTTGATCTATAAGGTTCTAAGTTTTTTATTCTAAAATACTAGTTTCCAAGTCTAAACAGATGAAGTTCTTGAAAAGGTTAAGATTGAGAATAGCTTCCTATAGGAACAGAATAAAACAAAAAAAAATTCCTTATCTTCTTATAACATTACCTACCATTTCCACAGGGTCCGTAGGGGCAGTCCACACTGCTAGTGGCAGTGTGAGACACTGACCTCTGGCCCTTTCCCATCACTCTGAGTAGTGCATGGCATTTCACATTACAGATGAAGCAATGAAAGTTCAAAATGTTGAGTGATTTATTCACGATGAAAGAGCGTTATTGAGTGTTCAACTAGAATTTGATCTCAAACTTACCTAACTCCTCAAGCTTACCTAACTCCAAAGCTCTTTTTCCTACAAAAAGGTTGCCTTCCAACCAAGAACATAAGGGGGGGGGGAGACTCAGAAAAATTGAACTTCCTCAAAACTAAAACTCTTATAAATTAAACAATAATCTCAAGAAAGTGAACAGATAATGAGGTGTGGCCTGTAATCCTAGCTACTCAGGAGGCTGAGAACTGAGGATCACAGATCAAAGCCAGCCTGGGCAGGAAAGTCTGTGAGACTCTTATCTCCAATAAACGACTCAGAAAACCAGAAGTAGTGCTGTGGCTCAAGTAGTAGAGCTCTAGCATTGGGCTGAAGAGCTGAGGGACAGTGCCCAGGCCCAGAGTTCAAGCCCCATGACCGACCAAAAAAAAAAAAAAAAAAAGAGTTGAAGATGGTCTAGTATACAGAATATATAAAAGAATTATTGAGCTAAAGGTGTAGCTCAGTGGTAGGGTATCAAACCTAGGCCCAACATCAACCAAAAATAAAAGGGCCAAGATTCACCAAAAGAGCACATAGAGCTGGGCCCTGGTGGCACACTTTTAATCCTAACTAATCGAAAGATTGAGATCTGAGGATCATGGTTCCAAACCAGCCCTGTCAGTAACATCCATGAGACTCTTAAATCCAATTAACCACCAAAAATCCAGAAGAGGAGCTGGTCAGCCAAAAAGAAAAAAAAAGAAAAGAAAAAAGAACATAGAAATAGCCAACAGACACAGGAAAAGAAGCTCAACAGTATTAATCATAAAAGATATGTAAACCAAATCCAAAACAAGGTACCACAGCATACCAATTATTTATCATTTAAATTTATAAACACACACACACAATAAACAGCAAATACTGAGAATGTAAAAAGAAACTGGAACCTTTATGCATTGCTGATAAAAATATAAAATTGGCTGAGATCTGGTGGCTCACCCTTGTAATCCTAGCTATCCAGGAGGCTGAGATCTGAGGGTTGCAGTTCAAAGCCAGCCTGGGCAGATAAGTCCTCATCTTTTTTTTTTTTTTGTCAGTCATGGGGCCTGAACTCTGGGCCTGGGCTCTGTCTCTCAGCTCTTCAGCTGTAGACTAGCGCTCTACCACTTGAGCCTCAGCCCCACTTCCGGCTTTTTCTGCTTATGTGGTGCTGAGGAATCGAACCGAGGGCTTCATGTACTTACAAGGCAAGTACTTTACCACTGAGCCACCTTCCCAGCCCCAGTCCTCATCTTTTATCTCCAATAATCTAATCAAAAAAGCCAGAAGTTACACTGTGGCTCAAGTGGTAGAGTGCTCACCTCGACTAAAGGAAGCTCAGGGATAGTTCACAAGCCCAGAGTTCAAGCCCCAGAAGCAGAGAAAGAAAGAAAGAAAGAAAGAAAGAGAGAGAGAGAGAGAGAGAGGAAGGAAGGAAGGAAGGAAGGAGGGGGGGAAGGAGGGAGGGATGAAGGGAGGGAGGGAGGAAGAAAGAAAGAAAAGACAAGACAAAATTGTGGAAAACAATTTGCTCGTTCACTCAAAAAGTTAAACCAGGGGCTGGGAATGTGGCTTAGCAGTGGAGTGCTTGCCTAGCATGTGTGAAGCCCTGGGTTCGATTCCTCAGTACCACAAAAACAGAAAAAGCCAGAAGTGGCATTGTGTTTCAAGTGGTAGAATGCTAGCTTTGATCAAAAGAAGGCCAGGGACAGTACTTAGGCCTTGAGTTCAAGCCCCAGTACTGGCACAAAAAAAAAAAAGAAAGAAAAAGAAAAGTTAAGCTATAGAATTACCATAGACTCTGCAATTCTACCACTAGGTATATATCTAGCCATACACGTGTTCAGATCAGCTCTATTCACAATACAGATATTGAACTTATGAATTATAGCATATATATATATATATATATACATCTGTGTGTGTGTATATATATATATATATATATATGAAATACTTTTAGTCATTAAAAAAATGACATTCTGATAGGAACCCAGTAGGTTGTTATATTGCATAGGAAGGGCATACCAGTTATCTGGCCAAACATGTCGATAATGTCAAGGCTGAGAAACCCTGGACAGGGGCTGAGGGAGAGAAGGGAGCTAAAGGGCCCAGAGGTATAAGCCAACAGAGCATTCCAGCACTCAGGGAAGAGGCCAAGAATGACAAAGCAGTAGACTGACTCTCCCATCTCTTTCAGAATAGTCCTGAAAATCTGTTCAACTTCAGACATTCACAGGTTAAGTCACAGTCTGTTTTGGAATGACTGGGAAGAGTTTTTCTTTCTTCTCAAGCTGACAAGGTGATTCTTCTTCCTTTGCTCAAAATGCTCTACTAGCTCAGACTGTCAGTCCTGACAAGAGCAGTCCAGCACATAGAATGGCCACACCCGAGGTTAGTAAGAGTCCTTCTGGTAGCCCAGGACAAAGAGCAAAACAGTTAAATCTCTACTTGTTCTAGAGGGAAAAAAGATGAAGGCAAAGTCTGTGACACATATTGCCGATTAGGCACCAAAAGACTACTCTCCAATTAAGCACCAAAAAAGCCAGAAATGGAGCTGTGACTCAAGTGGTAAAACACTAGCCTTGAGCAAAAACAGCCAAGGACGGTGCCCAGGCCCTGAGTTTAAGCCCCAGGTCTGGCATGCATGCACGCACGCACGCGCACACGCGCACGCACGCACACACACACACACACACACAAGATGACATTCCCTAAATGAACTCACTGAAGCTGCAAAGTAATGTGCAAAGCTATCATGAGGATTCCACTGTACAGCTCCAATGTCCCACTTGCTCTGACGAGAGATTTTCCGGTGACCTTCGAAAGGAGCATCCAGATTGATGATGTATAGGAATCTGCGGCTAGAACAACATCAACGTTAGTATAATATAGCAACACAACAGCACTGGCACTGGAACAGAAAAGCATATTCAGACTTGCATTCCATTTGTAAGCAGTGCTCCCCAAAACTTCAGATACAGGAAGCAAAACTATGGCTCAAGTGGAACAATACTAGCCTTAAGCAAAAAAAGCTAAGGCCTCTATGACCCAGCCGTACCACTCCTAGGCATCTACCCTAAACAACAGGAACCAGTATACAAAGACACACGCACCTCCATGTTCACAAAAGCCAAGATTTGGAAACAAACCAGCTGCCCCACTACTTATGAGTGGATCCAAGAATTGTGGTATCTGTATACAATGGAATATTATGCAGCCATTAGAAAGGACAAAATAATGGTATTTGCAGGGAAATGGATGGAACTAGATTATTTTGAGCAAAGTATGCCAAGAACAAAGAGACACATGGCACATGGTCTCCCAAAATGTAAGAAGATATGATAAAGTAAACAGGACTCAGAAAACAAAGGACAGCCACCCACTTTGTCATATCATTGCTAAATGACTCCATGTTCTTGACCATATATATGGTAGATATATGCATACAACAGAAGGAAGCCAGAAGGAGGAACAGAGTAAGTGGGAAAAGGAACAACATACAACAAAGGGGCCGATCAGCCCCTTTGGACATAGAAGAAAAAGAACTAAGCAACCCAAAGACACCGATGGGAGGGGAGGAAAGAGAGGGAAAGAGGGAACAGCCTACACTAAGCAAAAGGAAGCAAATGTAATCATCACCTGATGGGGAAGAAATAATTTGTATTGTCAAAACTCATAGAATTCACAAACTTTATAGACCACAATAATGACCATTTGCCTTGTGAAGGTTAAAATGTGTCTGTCACTTTAACTAAATATCACTATTCCACAATTCTGTGAAATATGTGAAATTTCTGTAAATGACCTAATCTCAATTTTTTAAAAAAGTGAGAGAAGGGATGGGTTAGGAGCGATGGGTGACAATGTTGTCAGACACCTTGTACTCATACTGTGTTGTAGAATGGGAACTTCTCTGTACAACTACTTAAAGATATAATAATTTGGGGCTGGGAAGTTGGCTCAGTGGTAGAGTGCTTGCCTCGCCATGCATGAGGCCCTGGGTTCGATTCCTCAGCACCACATAAGCAGAAAAAAAAAAGCCAGAAGTGGTGCTGTGGCTCAAGTGTTAGAGCACTAGCCTTGAGCTGAAGAGCTGAGGGACAGTGCCCAGCTCAGAGTTCAGACCCCACGACTGGACCCCCCCAAAAAAAGATATAATAATTTTTAAAATGTTAAAAGAAAAAAAAAAGCTAAGGGACAGTAACCAGGCCCTGAGTTCAAACCCCAGGCCTGGCATAAAAACAAAACAAAACAGACACACTTGATATTTATCTACTCTGAAAGGCATCTAAGTGACTAGAGTAATTCAAGCTGGTAGGCAAGCTAAGGGAAGTCAAATCGCTGTGAGTCTACCTGCAGACCTGTCCTTCCCTACCACATCCACCTGTGAGAGTGTCTAATCTCCCTGGTCAGACCCAACCTGCCTCACTCCCCTCCCCCCATCACGCCAGTACCTGCTTCCACATTATTCCCATGGCAGGGCTGCATTTCTATGGCTACAATTACTCTGCAGTAGGGCCATGGATATTAAGCTTCTTGTCTCAGTTTCTCTGAGTGTCTAGAACATGGACAATGTCTTGAATACCTTTGTCAGCTTCATGTCACCAGGAACAGTGCTCTGCAGTCTTTGATAAGTATGTGGAATTAACACATCACTCATCACTAGGCCAAAATCCTGCAGAGAAATCTCACATTCCTCTGCAAGCTTACTGTCTGGAAGCCAAATTAAATCTACCAGGAAGGAAAATAATAACCCAAGGAAAAAAATACTGATAATTAATGTTACATATAGTAAGTATGCCGATGTCTAAAGTGTCTATAAATACAAAGAATCTAGAAAATAAAAATGTTGGGCTGAGAAGGTGGCTCAGTGGTAGAGTGCTTGTCTCGCATGCATGAGGCCCTGGGTTTGATTCCTCAGAACCACATAAGCAGAAAAAGCCAGAAGTGGCGTTGTGGCTCCAGTGGTAGAGCACTAGCCTTGAGCTGAAGAGCTGAGGGACAGAGCCCAGAGTTCAGGCCCCATGACCGGCCAAAAAAAAAAATGTCCTATGATCATTTATTTTATTATAAGAAAGAAGAAAAAAAAAGGCTGGTACAGGAATCAATACCCCTATAGCTATCTGGTATTGATTATTTATTAGATAGCTCTACAAGCCCCTGAATATCGATGAAGATGAGTAGGCTAAAAATAAAAATAAGTACAATAATTCCTGTTCAGAAAAACTGGTAAATAACATAAAATTCTAGATAGTGGCAGACACATTAAGGAAGAATAATTAAAGGCGAAGAAGGATACCATGGAAAGACACAATATCAAGAGGTGTGCTAGTGGCTTACATTTCTAATCCTAGCTACTCAGGAGGCTGAGTTGGAGGACTGTGGCTTGAAGCCAGCCCAGGCAGAAAAATCTGACTCTCTTCTCCAGTTAACAAAAAGCCAGAAGTGGCAATGTAACTCAAGTGGCAAAGCACCATTCTCTGGCCTCCTCCAAAGAAATCATCTGATCCTGCTGTGAACAGCTGGCATCTTCCTTTCAGAAAGAAAGGCTAGAGGCATGGCTCAAGTGGCACAGCACTTGCCTATCAAGTTCTGGATCCTGAGTTCAAACCCAAGTATTGCCAAAAAGAGAAGAAAGTCAGTACAAGGCAAAGAATTCCATAGATGGGACACATATACATCACCAGGGCAGTTCAAACATCATAGAACAAATATACAGCAGCAGAAAGCAAGCACTTGAGAATGAACATGGCCAATAGAACATATGCATTTATAGCTATTCCCCCCACAAGAAGCCTCAAGAGTTTTTAAAGCAAAAAACAAAACAAGATCCACAAAAGCAAAATGAGAGAGGAAAAGAAAAGCAGATGGACAAGTGATAACTAATCTCAAGAAGGGAAGCCAAATAAAGCTTAAATGCTGATGGGGAAGAGGAGGGGAGCAAGCCCTTTAACAGGGATCTGGCCACACCTTCTCAAGGCCAGGATCAGGTAGGGCTGGAAAACAAAAAGCAGAACACAACAATCAGAATTGAGCTGGGAAGGTGGCTCTGTGGTAGAGTGCTTGCCTTGCATGCATGAGGCCCTGGGTTCTATTCCTCAGCACCACATAAGCAGAAAAAGCCAGAAGTGGTAGAGCACTAGCCTTGAGCTGAAGAGCTGACAGTGCCCAAGCCCAGAGTTCAAGCCCCACAACCAGCAAAAAAAAAAAAAAAAAAAAATCAGAATTGTTTGAAAGAAGCTAAGGAGAGTGGTTTGTGTGTACTGCACCCCACCCCCAGCCAGGTGGCCACTTCTTCACTCCATGTAGAAGGCTGGTACTCAAAGGTGTAGTAATGAACTCTATGCATCCTGAGCATGTGTGGTTTTTCCTTGGAACTAAGTACTTGAGGATACCAAAGGTCTACTGTATCTCTTACCTTTTAGGAATGAAACAAAAGTAATATACAAATAGTCCACAAATTGGCCCTTGCAGACACTAGGATATGAGAATTAAATCTTACCATCATGATCTTTAAAATATAAGATTATTTTTACCAGATGCCGGTGGCTCACACCTGTAATCCTAATTACTCAGCAGGCTGAGATCTGAGGATCGCATCTCCAAGCCAGCCTCGCCAGAAAAGTCCATGAGACTCTTATCTCCAATAAACTGCTCAGAAAGAGCTGGAAGTGGCACTGTGGATCAAGTGGTAGAGGCTAGCTTTGAGCAAAAGAAGCTCAAAGACAGTGCCCAAGGCCACAGCAAGCCCCAGGACCAGCAAACAAACAAAAAAAGGGGGGGGGAGAATATTTTCTAATTTCCCAAAAACTTTCCTTGCAATTTGTTCCCCAGATATTGTAGCCAAATCTGAAAGCTCACTTACCCAGAAAGCACTGCATGCTGCCCAAGACAGTCCACAGACATTGCAGTTGCCTATGAGAGAGAATAAGATTCAGTCCTGCCAGCAAAATCTATCCAGGCAGGAGAAGACAGATGTCCCTTTGGCTTTTCTTTCTCCTATCTCCCAGGCAGTCCCCAGCTAGCAAGTTATCAGTGGTCCCCTGCAGTGAAACCTAATAGCTCCTGCCCAACTTTAACATCTACTTTTATATGTGTGCTGGAACTGGAGGTTAAACTCAGGGCCTGGGTGCTGTCCCTAAGCATTTTTGCTGGTGCTTTACCACTTGAACCACAGCTCTACTTCGGCTTTTTGGTAGCTTACTGGAGAGAAGGCTCTCACAAACTTTCCCATCCCTGCTGTCTTTGAACCTCAATCCTCAGAACTCAGCCTACTGAGTAATTAGGATTATAGACAGGAGCCACCAGTGCCCTACTCACATAATCTTTTTTTTTTTTGGTTGTGGGACTTGAACTCGGGGCCTGAGCACTGTCCTTGAGCTCTTCTGTTCAAGGCTAGTAGTGTTCTACCACTTGGAGCCACAGCTCCACTTCTGGTTTTCTGGTTGTTCACTGAAGATAACAGTCTCACAGACTCTGCTGCCCAGGCTGGCTTCAAACAGTGATCCTCAGGATCTCAGCCTCTTGAGTAGCTAGGATTACAGGTGTGAGCCACCGACCCCAGTGAAAATGATCTGAAGATCGTGGCTCAAAGTCAGCCTGGCAGCAAAGTCCATGAAGCACAGCACCCAAGCCCAGAGTTCAAGCCCCATGACAAAAAAAAAAGGGGGCGCATTATGAAAATTAACTTTTTCTACTTTATTCAATAGTTCATAGAGAGAGGCAGGAGCTTCTCTGAATCATCACTGGGAAACAATGTAAATTCACACTACAGAAACACACTTTCAGCCGGGCTCCGGCGGCTCATCCTTGGAATCCTAGCTACTCAGGAGGCTGAGATCTGAGGATTGCAGTTCAAAGCCAGCCCGGGCAGGAAAGTTCATGAGACTCTTATCTCCAATAAACCACTAGAAAACCGGAAGTTGTGCTGTGGCTCAAGCGGTAGAGCGCTCACCTTGAGCTGAAGAGCACAAGGACAGCGCCCAAGCCCAGAGTTCAAGCCCCATGACCGACAAAAAGAAAAAAAGAAACACACTTTCAACTAAATAGAAAAATCAAAAAGAACAACAGAAACTCCTAGAAGGTAGTTATATTACCCAAAGTACTCTGTTCTTTTACTATGACAACTGCTCTTTAGATTTAATTATTTGTTCCTGCTTCATCGCATCCTAATGTGTGTGTCAGCACCTTCTCTGTAGGTTACTTCAATTACATCTCTATAAAGGTAGAGGGGTGAGACTACCTTGGTTTCTGTGAGAATCAGGGGGCTTGCAAATTAATATCTTCTCAACCAGCAGGCCTGGAGGCATGATGCATGATCCCATTCTGTCCTACTCCCCATTGAAGGCAATAAATAAGAACAATAATGGTGGGCACCAGTGGCTCACACCTGTAATCCTAGCTATTCAGGAAGGTGAGATCTGAGGATGGAAGTTCAACCAGCCCAGGCAGGAAAGTCCATGAGACTCTTATTTCCAATAAACCATCAGAAAAACCAGAAGTGGCACTGTGGCTCAAGTGGTAAAGTGCTAGCCTTGAGCTGAAGAGCTGAGGGACAGTGCCCAGGCCCAGAGTTCAAGCCCCACAACCAACAAAGAAAGACTAGCAAAATGGCTATTTTCCTCTAGGAGATTGCTCTCTCCATCCCCCCCACCCCTCTCCACCCATCCCAGGGAAAGAGGAGTCAAAGAAATGCTCTCTGTTGACAGCATAAAAGTACTTCAGGATCTATTAATCCAAAAGCTACTATGAAGTTCTCAATGTGGGCTACTTATCAGAGGGCACCACAGAGCAGACCAGTTAGTAGATCCTCCATGCTTTTAATATTTATGGAGAAAGACAGGATGGGGTTTTTGAAAGAACCACACCACCTACTTTCTGTAATCCAGATTATCCTCAGTGTAAGCCCACTGAGTATGACAGGACCTTATACTTGTGCATCCAGGAGGAGCTCAAGAAGTCTGGCACACAGAAAGAATTTAATAATATGTTAAATAGATCAAAAGTAAAACCCAGTAATAGCCTAGGTATTAGAAATGAGAACACACAATTCTTATAGACCAGTTTTATGACAGGGTCTAGCTACTAAGCAAAGTAGTATTATGTACTGCAGGGGAGGAGGTGGAGCAGTCAGAGCTGGTGTCATCAGCTAATGCCATCAGCCATTATTAAGAACAGCCTTAGCCAAGTCACTGGAGATTAGTTAATTGGGGATCAGCATCCCATTTGGCAATAAAGAGAAAATGCTTGCTCATTTTGTACAGTTTTTTCATTCATTTGGAAAGGAAAATTTTAGGTAAATCACTTAGCACAAAGCTTGTCATATGGAAGACACGGTATAGAAAAATGGCTTTTAAAAATCGTTAGTAAATGCTAACGTTTCAGGCTGGCACTGATGGCACACACCTGTAATCGCAGCTACTCAGGAGGCTGAGATCTGAGAATCGCGGTTCAAAGCCAGCCAGGGCAGGAAAGTCCATGAGACTTGTATCTGCAAGTAATCACCAGAAAATCGAAAGTGGAGCTGTGGCTCAAAGTGGTAGAGCATTAGCCTTGAGCAAGAGCACAGGGAGAGCGCCCAGGTCCTGTGTTCAAGCCCCACAACCGACAAAAAAAAAAAAAATGCTAACATTTCCTGAGACTTGCCATGTGCCATGTGTCAATGGGAAGTGTGCCTTCATAAAATTCTTATGCCAATCGTTGAGGCAGATACAATGACATGAAAGTAAACTAACATGCGGAGGGGGTGGCAACACCCAGGTTCAAACTCAAGTAGTACCGGTCGTTTTGTCCATTACACTCTTTTCCACTATTAGAATGGTCCGCAGCCATTTATTAGGATAGACGCCGAAGCAGGCACTTTGCAAGCAGGATGTCACAAAGCTCGCCTCAGAACCCCGCGAAGGAAGAACTAAATCCACGCAGCTGAGGCTCAGAGAAGTTCTGCAACTTGCCCCCAGGTCACCAAGCGCACTACACCTTCCAGCTCACGACTCTGGGCGTCGGAAGCCCCGCTTCCACCCGTCATCTCGGCCTCAGTGTCCCCAGGTAGACTTCCACTTCCCACAGACGATTCTCCGCGCCCTCCAGGAGCTGACGGCTCCAGGTCACCCCCGCCCTAAATCGCTCCAGTCCAGGTGGTCTTACTCGCTTCAGCTGACTGACAGGACGGCGGAGGGGCGGGGGGAACCATGCAGTGCGCATGCTCACACTGCTCCATTCGCAGCCTCTCCCTCCCCTCCATCCTCCGGCTTACTTGTGAGTCGCGGAACTCCACCACCACGTTCTCGCTGCTCCAACGCGCCGCCATCTCCTTTGCCTGGCCACAGAGGGCCCAAAATCGCGCCCTCCCTGGAGCTGCGTCCCTAGAGCCAAGCAGTTCCACGCCGCTTGCTACTCTGCCAGGCCACGCCCCTTTCCTTCCTCAGTCTGACCATCAGTCATTGGCTGTCCCAATATAAGCTCTGCCCCCTTCCTGTCTCCTCCAATTGAGGCACAGCATACGCTCCAAACAGGCACGCTCCCTCTCACTTCCGTCATCAGTTTGAGTCACCTAAACTCCCCGCGTCTGTAGACACGCCCCGCTCTGCCGCAAGATCTACTGGGAGTTGTAGTTCAAGGCCGAGCACTGAGTGGGTCACCCAAAAGAAAAGTCCTCACAGGTTAGACTTGGTGAAGGGCCGGTCCCTCTTGGGCTCACCATCTTCTCACTAGTGTCCCTGGCATTGTCTTAGACCCATTCTACAAACCAATAGCAAAAATGTAAATGGAACGTGCCTCTTCTATTGATGCTTGCCATCAAGGTTTTAAAAATTCTGGGTAAGTGATTGTTTCATACATACAATACAGCTGTGCCTCCAAGTTTTTAGAGACTCGGGGTCTTAAAACCCTTTTAGGGGTCTCTGAGGGGGGAAAAAAAAACCTCATAACTTTTTTATTTTGCCAGTCTTAGGGCCTGAACTCAGGGCCTGGGCACTATCTCTGAACTTCTTTTGCTCAAGGCTAGCACTCTACCACTTGAGTCACAGCACCACTTCCGACTTTTTCTGTTTATGTGGAACTGAAGAAAAGAACTCAGGGCTTCAAGCATGCTAGGCAAGCACTCTACCACTGAGCCACATTCTCAGCCTCATAATATTTTTTTATTTCCATTTTGTGTGTATGTGGGATTGTGTTGGTCCCCGGCTTAAACTCAAGGCTTGGGCACTGTCCCTGAGCTTTTATGTTCAATGCTAACACTCCTCTTAAGCCACAGCTCCACTTCTGGCTTTTTGCTGCTTAAATGGAGATTAGAGCGCCTGGACTTTGTTGCCTGGGCTGGCTTTAAACTGTGATCCTCAGATCTCAGCTCCTGAGTAGGTAGGATTACAGACATGAGTCACTGGTGATCAACCAAAATGCATCATCTTAGTAAGAAGGTAATGTAATTCACTGCTGTGAAGTGGAATTTTCTAGAAGCTACATGGTACTTAATGCACCAACTGAATAAAAGTAGATTTGAGAGTCCATCTGCCAAACATTAATGTTTGTCACTCTTCTCACTAGAAATTTTAGGTTCTTAGTTATAACTTCTAATAGTTACTGAAGGATTGACTCCTACCTTATTCTCCCAGGTCAAGCAAAGCACCAGGTTCTGGCTCACCTGCTTGCCCACAAGCAAGCCATTTGGACTAGGCTTAGCTGAAAGTCCCCTCACCCCCAGCCGTAGCATTCCACTCTGGGCCTGGCCAAAGACACTGCCCCCAAGAGACCATAGACCATATTTTGTTTTCCACTTCCTTGTTAAGCTCTAGTTAAGCCCACCCCAAATCTAGGCCCTTGTACAACCTCCAAACCTGCGGGAAGGCCTGTGCCCCTCACAAGGAATAAACAGTCCTAGCCTGTTGACTATCTAGTCCAGTCTATTCCTTTTCTATTCTCCTTCATTTTTCTAACAGTTACTATCAATATATTAACTCACATGCACTATTTTTTTGTTTTGTTTTTGTTTGTTGTTGTTGTTGTTTTGGTGGTGGTGGTGGCAACCGGGTTGAAGCAGGGGCTCTTGATTGCTTAATTTGCTTTTGTTGCTCTACCATTTCAGCCACACCACCAACCTGCCTTTCTTGCTGTTTATAAGTACTGTGCACTAACTGATTGTGCCACTGAAGCTCTTTTCTTTTTTTTTTTTGGGTCCAGTCGTGGGGCCTGAACTCTGGGCCTGGGCGCTGTCCCTCAGCTCTTCAGCTCAAGGCTAGCGCTCTACCACTTGAGCCACAGCGC